CCCCTCTCTCCAATAGTTCGTGAAGTGTCCGCCACTGGCTCCATTTCAGTTCAAGAACGCAAGACTTTCAGTCCATTACCTGTAGTTATGTAGTGCCCACATAGGGATGAGGCAATGCCTGGGGTGGCAATGGACGAGGCAATGCCATGATTATTGAAGGTTGTTCTTCTCTAGGCGTCGAAAGCGAGTTCGCGATACGACTCAGAGATTGTTTGAGATCATCCTTGCTTGGCGGTTTCGTACTGTTCAGCCAATCAGATAACGTATGAATTATACACGCCATTAATGTCAGGCTTAGGAAAAACGTGATCATTACATAGGTATACTCCAATGCTACAAGTATTTGATTTGACGTCCCTCTACCTTGGGGCACATAGTCCCCGAAACCGATGGTTGTCATAGTCACAAACCAAACATACAACGCCAGGGAAAAGTCCCAATTTTCAATGATTGTACCGATAGCAGAAATGAAGCAGAGCAAAACTGCGGTTATAACAAACACTGCAACCACTGACTTCCTTTGGATATCTCGAGGTCGACTTCTCTTGAGAATTTTTCTTTCGAAAGATATTATAGATGATCTGATCATGTGCTTGAGTTTTTCTCCAAGTGTCATTAACATCATCGCCATAAGTGGGATCCCTATTGTAGCATAAATTATGAGAAACATTCGACCTGCGACTGTCCGTGGCGCAGTGTTTCCATAACCTGTCCGAAAGAAACAAAGATTCCTTAAAATAGGCAATTCCAGCTTTTAATTTATGCGCGCAGGGGGTGATGGGAAGTAAGGTATCATATTGCTGATTATGCTGACACCTTACTTCCTACCTCCCCCCTGCACGCATAAACTAGAAACCGGAATTGCCTATTAGGCGCAAAAATTGCAAGGATCACTTTCTATGGGACATTAGGGACATATAGGGTTAGGTAAGGGACCCTATCCCTATATGTCCCCAATATTCCAAAGAAAGTGGTCTCCAAAAAAAATGTTGCAACCTGTATACCCGTGTTGGCCAGATTCAGGCGAGATCCCGCCTTTGATATTATTTCCTACTAAATTTCATTTTGTATTTATATGGAAACCGAGCAAACCCGAGATCTCGGGTGATCGGGCTGGGAATTTCCCATATAAACGCAATGACCCAGGCTGGCTCGCCTATAATAAGCGTGATGAGTAAAACTGTTCTGTTCACGCGAACATATTGTTTATAAATAAAATTTGCTTGACTGATTTCGATCTTAAAAAAGATCTCTGTGAACGATTATAACCGTGAAAGGTGCCTGCAAAAGTGCGAATTTCAGGTTCGCGAGAAAATATATTTATATTATATACCACTTTTAACGGCGAGACCGGTGGTTTTTTTGGCGAGCCAGCCCACCTCAAAAGTCTCATGTAAACACGGGATGAAATCAGCTCGGCAAAGGGAGATAGCTGCAGTACCCGGGCTGGCTCGCCTCCATATAAATAGCCTCTTATACTTGCTAAGAATATTGTAACAGTATCGTGTTGCAAATATCGTTACCGCGGTGTTATAATCTTAATACCGCCCAATTTACGGCCACTGACCTATTGTAGTGATGGCTTGAATTGTAATATTTACTCCTCCAGTGATATCCCATTCTTTTGGAAATACTTCTTGTAGGAATGTTCCCCGAATCTCTGTCATTATGATTTTCATATCAGTTTCGTTCAGGATAAAACGACGTAAAATGCTTGTCATCGTTTTGTTGTAGTTTTCTTCAAACTTCGCAACCTCACTCGCGGCTTCATCTTTTTCTAAAAGATGGAATATTGCACTTCCAAAGGCAATATAAACGAGAACCGTGAAAACACGAAATATGATTGTTTTTGCGTCATACATAGATTGCGTCGTACTCTTGGATTCCGACATCCTTTTGACCAACAGAGCGAAGTACAGCCGGGCTGTTTTTTGGGGAGGATATTAATTATTGAAGGATTATTCGCTTCTACAAGCGTATACAAATGTCTTTTGCAGATCACCTGTGATGATCATTTGTAAATTATTCATATTGAAGAAATTAAAATAGACGTTAAACAAGTGGTATATTGACTTTTTCACTCCCTGTCAAAGTTTCCGAATATGATGTTGTCATATAGATGAAATGCAAATTAGTTTTTTATTGTTTTACATCATATTACATCCATCTATCCGATAATTTTGACAGCAAAAAAGTTAATGAAGATGAGGTTTTTCATTAATATAAAAATTGTTCTTATGGAATAGTCGAATTTTCATTTCGATATTTATATTAACAGACATTAACAGACAGTTTCCTGCCGGGCGCTCGATTTCCCGTCTGTGATATCGATAAATTTCGGAAACCCTCAATCCCAGTCCCTTCTCTCGACGTTACCAGCTGAAACTAGTGGCCGAAGCCCACTTGATATATTCGTCTGATATTCTAGCATGTTGCATGTTAGGTGTGGAGCAATAGACCTTTCCCCTTTTGAGTGAAATTTTGATCTAGAACTAGCCTGGACAAAAATTTCATCACAGCTTGAAAGAGCATCACAAAATTAGTAATATTCCGAAGTTTCGTTGCGAAATGTTGTAAAATGCGGATAATACAGCCAGGGTCATTTAGTAAAATTCGGGTCATTTAGTAAAATTTCCTCGGGCCTTCGGCCCTCGGGAATTTTACTAAATGACCCTCAACGAGCGGCGCCCAAGTGAATTATACTAAACGACCCTCATCGGGCGGGACGTTTTAATAGCTAATTCGCTTCTTTTTATGCTATTACTTATAAATATAAACTTTTTAGATATGTTCCATTTCAGTACTTTTAAATTTACTGATGACCCAAGTATTATAGTAATAAATTTATGTTATGTCAACAGTTGAGTCTATATTTATGCGTCTAAATTATCAATGAATCATATTGCTGCATGAACTCTCCTCTGCAGGGCCCCACATACACATTGCATGTCATTTATTCGATCACATTTGCCACGAGAAAAATCGCCGACAGAATTGCTATAGTGTGAACCAGGGTTTAAAAACGCCAGTGTCGCAATTACTAACACGAGGCTCTATGGCCAAGGTGCCGTACTTTCCAGAAGCGTGTATTCTTTTGTTTTATGGGAACACCATGACCGTGTCCCGGTATGTCATTTGCTGAAGCTGTGGATCCGTAAGGCGTAAAAAATATTCTGTTTCTGGTCAGCACGGCGTCCTTTTTAACTGCGCGTAAACGGTTTTTTCACTGAGCCGTACTAGAGGTTAGTAACTGTTAGTATCGCAAGGAAAGTGCTGCCGAGTCTTGGCATAACCGGAAATCTGTATGCAAAATTTTCCTCAAAAAACTTGCCAGGGAAAACAGATTTTATAATCGTAATGCTGCCTACAACATCCCACAGTTTATGTAAATGTAGTGTTATTCGAGTTACTCGCGCTATACGCATTTTAAATACGATAAAATGCTCCTATAGACGTGGTTTAAGTATATACCCATTGAATAATACTTTATTTACCCACAATAAACACAATTATTTTACCAAACTAGTTTTACACAACAGTAACAATGCGTTATAAACATTGCTTCAATAATACTATACTTTTTAATAAAGTTATGTGGTAAGTCATCTCAAGACTCCTTTAGTCATTCTACGAAAAAAGGATTTTGCAATCTTGCATGTTATATGCTTAACTTACTGTGAAATTACAGACATTGGTATAAAGGTTTGGTACTAAATATCACAATTCACAATCATTGTTTAGGAGCAAGTGGCGAGCATGCAATCACACCCATATAACGTAATTGTCATATTAAATAATGACTATTAAATAAAACTTAAGCTAAAGTTAGCAATATACCAAGCAATATATGATTCTGTACAATGCATGCTAATGATGCCACAACTTAATCCAATCTCTTTTTTCTGTGTGGGATTCCTTACAGCTCTACTGCAGTGCTGGAAAATGTCCGGCAGCGCCAGCAGCACCGCTGCCAGGAAATTTTTAACAAAATATCTTCCCAGGAAATTTTCTTGCACTTTGCAGGAAATTTTTGTCATCTTATATACAGGAATGCCATATAATTCACTTATTGTTTGAAAATTCCAAATTAAGCATTTTGCAAGTCGAGATGTGCGGCATCATATTCCACACGTTCTCTGAAATTTTCATTTTATAGTTGACTTACACAGGAAATTTTAATTTTTGAATTTTGCTGCCAGAAAGATAACTATATTTTCTAGGCCTGCTCTACTGTTAAAAGATGTTAAACAATTGGCATTGATAGTTATATACTAGTGTATACATGAACAACACTAATCGACATGGTATATCCATTTCCTGTAGTTAACTTACGTAGTGCCCACATAGGAATGAGGCAATGCCTGGGGTGGCAATGGAGTCATGAATGGTCGAGGCAATGCCATGTTTATTGAAGGTTGTTCTTCTTTATGCGTCGAAAGCGAGTTCGCGATATAACTCAGAGATTGTTTGACATCATCCTTGCTTGGCAGTTTCGTACTGTTCAGCCAATCAGATAACGCATGAATTATACACGCCATTGATGTCAGGCTTAGGAGCAACGCGATCAGCACATAGGTATACTCCAATGCTACAAGTATTGGATTTGACGTCCCTCTACATTGGGGCACATAGTCCCCGAAACCGATGGTTGTCATAGTCACAAACCAAACATACAACGTCACGGAAAAGTCCCAATTTTCAATGATTGTACCGATAGCAGAAATGAAGCAGAGCAAAACTGCGGTTATAACAAACACTGCAATCACTGACTTCCTTTGGATATCTTGAGGTCGACTTCTCTTGAGAATTTTTCTTTCGAAAGATATTATAGACGACCTGATCATATGCTTGAGTTTTTCTCCAAATGTCATTAACATCATCGCCATAAGTGGGATCCCTATTGTAGCATAAATTATGAGAAACATTCGACCTGCGACGGTCCGTGGCGCAGTGTTTCCATAACCTGTACGAAAGAAACAAAGATTCCTTAGTTAGGTGTTGTTTACATGGGGTGAGCGAGCCCGGATGCAAAAAATTGGAAGGGGGGGGGGACCACTTTCTATGAGACATTAGGGACCATGTATAGGGATAGGGTAAGGTAAGGAAGGGCCTTATCAATCCTCAATGTTTCACAGAAGGTGATCCCAAAAATCTTTTTTTGCAGCCCGGCGCTTTTTTTATTATTTACTACCACACTTCATTTTATATTTATATGGGAACCGACTATACCGGGCTGGCTGGCTGGCCCAAGCGGGCTGAATGTTATTGCTCTTTTCACGCGAATTAATATATTCTTGTGAATAAGATTTTCTCGATTGATTTCGATCTTAAAAGGTCTCTGTGAACGATTATTAAGTGCGAATTTCAGATTCGTCAGAAAATATTTATATTATGCTACTTTTAGCGGCGAGACCGGTGGTTTTTTGGCGAGCCAGCCCACGTCAAAAGTCTCATGTAAACACGGGATGAAATCAGCTCGGCAAAGGGAGCTAGCTGCAGTACCCATGCAGGCTGGCTCGCCTCCATATAAATAGCCTCTTATACTTGCTAAGAATATTGTAACAGTACCGTGTTGCAAATATCGTTACCGCGGTGTTATAATTTTAATACCGCCCAATGTACGGCCACTGACCTATTGTAGTGATGGCTTGAATTGTAATATTTAATCCTCCAGTGATATCCCATTCTTTTGGAAATACTTCTTGTAGGAATGTTCCCCGAATCTCTGTCATTATGATTTTCATATCAGTTTCGTTCAGGATAAAACGACGTAAAATGCTTGTCATCGTTTTGTTGTAGTATTTTCCAAACTTCGCAACCTCCCTCGCGGCTTCATCTTTTTCTAAAAGATGGAATATTGCACTTCCAAAGGCAATATAAACGAGAACCGTGAAAACACGAAATATGATTGTTTTTGCGTCATACATAGATTGCGTCGTATTCTTGGATTCCGACATCCTTTTAACCAGCAGAGCGAAATAGGCTTTTTTAGGAGGATATTGAAAGATTCAGTCGCTTCTACAGGCGTATACATATGTTTTTTACAGATCACCTGTGATGATCATTTCTAAATGATTTATATTTAAAGAAATTAAAATAGACGTTAATAAACAGGCGGCATATTAACTTTTTCACCCGTGTCAAAGTTTCCGAATATGTTGTTGTTTTTGTTAATATATATAGATGAAATGCAAATTAGTTTTTTATTGTTTTACATGAGATTGCATGCATCTTCCCAATAATTTTGACAGCAAAAAAGTAATGAAGATACGTTTTTTACTTAATATAAAAATAATTCTTATGGAAGATAGTCGAATTCTCATTTTGATATATCAACAGACAGGTCCCGCTTGGTTTGCCGTCTAAGATATCGATACATTTCGGAAACCCTCAATCCCAGTTCATTCTCGACCTTACCGAGCTGAAACCCGCTTGATATATTCGTCTGCATGATGCATGTTATGTGTGGAGCAATTAATGCCTGAAGCATGCTATTTATGCCATTTTTGATTGCAGTAACATGTCACGCGGTTGTCGTTGAAAATCATCATTGAAAAATCGAAATGAATGACATCACTTTTACTCGGTGGACTGACATTATGACGTCATTATAAAATCGTTATCTTTTAGATTGTTGCATGAATAATCTGTAATTTCCGATTGTGGAACAATCGGCCAAATGTTTAGTGACAAAATTCACCAACTTTTTCGTTTTTGTGGATCTGTTTCATGGTTATAGAAAATAAATGCATGGGAATTCCTTCAGTTCACTAACACAATACCCAATATTCTGTTTCTGGTCAGCACGACGTCCTTTTTAACTGCGCGTCTCTGGCGCGTAAACGTTTTTTCAGCAATCTCGTTCCCAGAGTATGCCTGTTCGCGGGTTAAAATGCTGCCGAGTCTTGGCGTAACTGGAAATCTGCATGCAAAAAATTTCGTCAAAAAAACTTGTCAGGGAAAACAGATTTTATAATCGTAAATGCTGTCTACAACATCCCACAGTAAATGTATTTACATTTACTGTGGGATGTTGTAGACAGCATTTACGTCAAAGTTATTCGAGTTACTCGCGCGATACGCATTTTAAATAGTGATAAAATGTTCCTAGACGTCGTTTAAACCCATTGAATAATACTTTATTTACCCACAATAAACACACAACTATTTTACCAAACTATAGTTTTACAACAGTAACAATGCATTATAAACATTGCTTCAATAATAAAATTACGTGGTAAGTCATCTCAAGAAGACTCATTTAATCATGCAGGGCTTGAAATAACAGCTGATCACCGACCAATGATCGGCAGGAAATTGCTTATGACTGCCGATCACCATGATCTGGAACTTTGGGAACGTTATTTCAAGCCCTGATCATGCTACTCCTCTACAGAAAAAGGATTTTGCAATCCTGTTATATGATTCTTACTGTGAAATTACAAGCAAAAGTAAAAGTGGATGTAAATTACATGCAATTTAGGATCCGTAAAAGCTCAAGATAATTCATATGCACGTTGCAAGCGTTCACTGCACGCATGCGCAGTCTATATTTACTGAATGAGAAAAAGAGATACTTCGAGCATCAGCTCGTGTCTTTTCCCCACTTTTTTCAATTCAGAAGGCAGAACCCATCAATATATAATGTGATGCTCATTTATGTGTTATCCTTCTAAAAAATAACATCATTTAATTCAAAGGCTGTTAAAAGTATGTAAAACACACAAATCCCAATTTAAGGCCCGGTCGCGCTGCACGACGATAACGATACGATAACTTGTATACGCGCACTGATTGGTCAAAAATTTATCGTTATCGTCCGAAAAACCCCCGCTGGGTTAGTTTAAATACGCATGCAAGGTTAAGAAGTGACTTCTCATCCAACTTAAAAAGAACTTCGCATTTCATTTTTGGCCGCCATGTTGGTTGCTAACTAAATAAAAATTTCTAAAGTTGCTAATTAAATAAAAGTTTTCACTAAACAAACATTTTTTACCATTAAATTGATAATCTTACTCGAGAGTAAACCAGGCTCTATTTTATGCTTACTTGCAACAAGCAGTGATAACCAAATCACCCCAGCCTCTACAACTATCATGACACATTATTTTACTATCACCAAAGTAAACCTGCTTCATGTACGCCGAGTTTGTGGTATACATTTTGATAGCTTTCATGTAACCGTGAGATCGAGAGAAGCCTGATGGACACTTTCCATTTGCCAGGATACAATAGCTTCCAGAAGGCCATCGACCTGCTAAAATAAATGTGGATATATTATAATATGGGTAAATATCAGAATTATTTTGGACATCTCCCTAGATTGAATCAATGTTGAAGAACTTTGCAACTATGATGATGATGGTATATGGTAAGGTTTTATATATACATGGGTGAATCTTGATATTCACTATTGATATTTACTCATATACATTTGTAATCTTATGAGTTATCTTGTATCTTATGTGAAGATTTTGTAACTTACTATATGGCACTTTTCCTTCAATTTTTTTCAATCTTGCTTTTAAGTGCTGTTCAAGCTGTGTCAATCTCTTATTTATACTTGATTCCAAATTTTGAGTTCGTGCGCCTTGGATTTTCTTCTGATCTGCCAAGTTCTTTTCGAGATGTGTAACTTCAGTCATTACTAAATTCTTGGTCTTTAAAGTAAATAGATAAATAAAACACATGTAGGAGCGCTTTTGAAGAGATTTTCTAAAATTTTTCCTTTCCATTTTCTAAAATTTTTCCTTTGAGATCGATTATCTCACCTGTCGAAGTAAACTATAACAGTTCGATTTGGTTGCATCTGAAAAATTCTGGACGTTCCACGAGGGTCTATTTGAAGCCATTTTTATCAGGGCTCATAATGTTATTTAGTACAGTGCTTGCGAGCAAAATCGTCATAACTCCAAAATGTGCCTGCAAAAATGCATCGTATATTTTAGGTTTAGAGAGCTAAATATTGTTAGAATTTTAGGATTTAATGAGATTTTAAAATGTGCCTGTAATAGCTGCATGATTTGCATGATTGTTATTCTTCCTCTATATAAATAACCTTGCATTTTTGGACGAGTATTGTACCGCTTGTTAATTTCCAGACGACTCTTTTACTTTTTACTCTGGTAAGACAGCATGAGTATGGGCGGAAATTGCCCAACATTTTAATAGATGTATTGACAGATGAATAGAAGATAAATACCAATTTAACAACACATATATCTCCTAACAAATGCACAGAAATACAAATTAAGTCAATCTTAAAACGATAAATAAAAGAGTGTGGAACTATTTAATGTTTATTTCTGCATGGTATTTCATTCTGTGCAATTTACATTTAATGAAACAAATTTCAATCTGTCATCCAGTCTCTCTGACTAAATATTAATATCTCAACATTAATATCGTTACCAAATACATTAAAACAACTCCTAGAAAAAAAAAACCCCAAAAAACATACAAAGAACTTATAACTCCTAGAAAATTGCCCAATTTTTAGGTAGAATCTACCCAACTAAACATTAACCCCCCCCCCCCCCCC